CTTTCTATTTTGCCTTTTTTCTCACTTTCTTCCAATTTAACCTTTGCATTTCTCTTTTTTTTTCTCACTTTTACCTCTCACTCAAGTTGTTTTCATTTATAAATTCATTGAGAGGTACAGCATGGAAACAGACCCTTCAGTCCAACTCATCCATGCCAACTAGATATCCTAAATAAATCTAGTCCCATTTGCCAGCATTTGGCCCATATCCCTCTAAAACCTTTCTATTCATATTCCCATCCAGATGCCTTTGAAATGTTGTTATTGTACTAGGCTCCACCACTTCTTCTGGCAGCTAATTCCATATATGCACCATCATCTGTGTGAAAAGGTTGTCCCTTAGGTCCCTTTTTGTATCTTTCCCCTTTCACCTTAAACCTATATCCTCTAGTTTTTGGACTCCCTACCCCAGGGAAGAGACCTTGTCTATGTACCCTCTCCATGCCCCTTATGATTTTATAAACTTCTGTAAGGTCACTGCTCAGCCTCCGACACTCCAGGAAAAATAGTCTCAGTCTATTCAGCCTCTCCCAATACCTCAAACCCTCCAACCCTGGCAACATCCTCGTAAATCTTTTCTGAACCCTTTCTAGTTGCATACCATTCTCCCAATAGGAGGGAGCCCAGAATTGCTCACAATGCTCTAAAAGTGGCCAAACCAATGTCCTGTACAGCCACAATGTGACCTCCCAACTCCTATACTCAATACACTGACCAATAAAGACAAGCATGCCAAACACTTTCTTCACGATCCTATCTACCTGCAACATCATTTTCAAGGAGCTCTTGACGTGCACTCCAAGAATCTGGAATTAAGAGTCTCATTGACGACCATTATCAGTTGTCAGGACAAAAACCCATCTGGTTCATTCATGTCCTTTAGGGAAGGAATTCTGCCATCCTTACCTGGTCTGGTCTACATGTAACTCCAGACCCACAGCAATATGGTTGATTCACAATTGCTCTCTGGGCAATATGGAATGGGTAATAAATGCTGGCCTAGCCAGCCATGCCCTCATTCCATGAGTAAATAGAATAAGTTCTGAAGTTCCTGTGAAAATGCAGAGATATTCATGTCCTGGCAGCCCAGTAAAAATCATTGTTCATTTCCTGTACAATTCTCACATTAACCCCTGTGTCAATGTATGTCTCTCCCTGCCAGAATTTACAACCCACAGTGCAACAGTTTCATTCTACTATGTCCTACAGGTACCAGCAGCATGTCTTTGCTGGTTGCAATCAAGAGGGTCCCACAAGGCATACCCTCAATCACCTCTGAGGGAAAGAACCTGGTTGCCTCAGAGGAAGCTGAGGCATGTCTGCCCCTTCACCCCCACCAGCACAGATACCAACATTTCAGTGGGTATTTTCTCTCAACTAGAGTCAGGAGCAGATGCTGGCAAGCACTTCTTCACTGCCACCTCTCCACAGCTGGTCAAGATAGAAATGGCCCAGGCCAGTGGCACTAGTGGTACTGCCAGAGACCAGGCACCTGCTGAAACCCAGGCAGGAGAAAACCGTATCTTGTTGGCCATTTGTGATGACATACTGGACTCAAGCATACACAGGAGATGTGGGCAAGTTTGTTGGTAAGTCTAAACAACCTAATGCAACAGCTACAGGACTGCAGCAGTTTTGAAACCCTACTGCTTCAGGCATAAAACCATCTTGCTGTCTCCATGGACAAGTTGAAAGCTGCCATGGAGAGCCTGGTCCAGGCACCTCCAGGGTCTTTTTGATATTCAGCTCTGTTGTCCTAGCCACCGCTGTCCCAACGCAAACGACAAGGGAATGAGGAACCTTGATGTCAATGTAGGTGCTCTTTCCTCACAAAATGACAGGGTGATGCCAGTAAGCACCGGCCAGAAAAGGAACCAGATATGGGCTTCAACTGGGCTCCTCTCAGGACACTCCAGAGCTGTTTGGCCTTCTGCCTCCACTCTCTCCACTACCCTCAGCCCTGTGGGAATCCAAAGGGCACATTCAGCATGCATAGGCCCTCTAGACACAAATACCCCTGGGATCAGCCAATCAAAGCTCCAAGGGAAATGGGCTGCACTGTACAGCAGCCTCCCTCTTCCCCAAACGTGCATGGACCTAGGGACTGAACTCAGACAAAGTGTGAAGGAGAGAAAGAAGAGGACCTTTTGAGGGCATATAGTGGATGGATGTTACTTGATTGTAAATAAGTTCTCATGTTTGTAAATACATGTTCACTTCTTGCTGTTATGTGTTGCAAATCCCTGTATAGCTCCAAATTCCTGAAGGTACTAAAGTAATCCCTTCTTATCCCTAAACAATATCAGTGAGCCAAGTTGTGAAGTCAGCAGCTGCTGCACCGTTGCATTTAATGGGAGAAATCACAGGGGACTGTGAACTTGACAACTCGGCCCCATTTTTCCAAGTGCACCGACATTGCTCTTGCATCACAGATATCAGTGGGGTTTGGCCAATAGCCTGGGTGAAATGGTCAGATGTGCTTGGGTCAAGGAGTTGGACTGCACAATGTAACTAATGCATGTGCTGTAATGAATGCTGAACTCACAAGTGTGTTTCATCTTTACTGGATAGGGATGTTTTGTCTACTGGTGTTGTCCTTCAAAGGGTCCCTTGTAGCTAAAATGTGCAGACCCCTCCTTCACAGATGTCTGCATTTACCCCAACCACTTCAGGTGTCATTGTAGCCATTTTCTGTTCCATTGTGCATTCTGTTGTGATTTTCAAGATGATGGAAGGCAACAATGGCCTCTCCTCAGAACATGAGATCCAGGCTCAGCCTCACTGGCAGATATATCCTACAGTAAATGGGGTTTCAGCAGATGGTCTGCAGTAGAGAAAAGATGCTGTAGTTTATTTTTGCATTTCAAGATGATCCTAGCATAGTGAATAGTTTGGGAAGACAGAAATAGGGCACAATGATGTTATACGTGCTCCAACCGGATCTGTAAGAGAATGTCTAAATCAGTAGACTATCATATCCAAAGAAATCTACATCCCTTGGAAGTGAAGATGAGGATCAGGGGAAGCCAGCATGGGAGGAAGCACATTGTTTTTGATGTAGATATGAAATTGCTACTCAAAAAAATTTAACCAATGTGAATATTCAATTGTTGAAATTGTATGTTAAATCAAGTAATCCATGTTTAATTCATTATGTATACATGTTTATATTTATGTTTTTGCCCCTTCAAAAATAAGTATCTTTAATATATTCATCATGGCCCTTTAATCACATCTGCGTTGGTAAATTGTGAGACTTTCCCATTTATGCTGCTGTGTATTTGTCGCAGTAGCATAAGTTTTGATTTGAACTTAAATATCTGGAATGCATCAAGCATTCAGAGTATTTTACTTCTGGAGTAATCCCAGAAGGAGACCTCTGCTAGATTTGAATTTGCTTGAAGGTAAAATTAATCATCTGCGCAGCCTTTCTGTCAATCAAACATTATGTGTGGTTTTGTTTTCATCTGACATCTGATTGGCAGTGCAGACTTAGCACATTTTTTTCAAGTAAAATGTACAGTAATTACTTCATTACATGACATGAATTAATAATCTATTTATGATAGCATGAGGGTTGTGAAACTTAAATAATAAGGTGTTTCAAATGGTGAAAATATTTCTCAGGGCCTTTCCACTGAGTCAAACCTCTAGTGAAAGTAAAATATCATCCAGACTCAGTTTCACTTCCTGACATCGTAAAAGTCACTATCAGTAAGTCCCAAAATTATATCTTAATTCATTTAATTATCTTAATTAGTGTAATGTTCCACCTTGAAATATTGATAGACCTATGAACATGTCCAGAGTTTTAGGGCTATGATCCAATTTGAAATAATACTCTTAGTAATATGTTTGGAAATTTTGTATATTTTACATTTATGTAACAAAATGCCATTTTAAAATTTTTTTTAGGCAAATACATTCCTTAGATTTATTCTCTACAATGCATATTTCCCTTCAAGAACACATTACAAGTTCCAAATTATTAAAACAACAGAACGTTTTTTGTATGCAGTTTGCTTTAATTCATTCTGATGAACAAATAATCTTGGCTCTAAAGCTTCTAAAATAATTTTACAATCAGAAAAGAACATTTTAATAAACTTTCATGGAAATAGTTAGTTATTTGTTGCAGGATTAATGCAATAATAAATTAAGTTATAAAACTTTAAGCAAAAAAGAAGGCACTGTAATATACAACTAAAGCAAAAATCCTCAGGGAAAATAATAAAGCACTGCTGACACCAGTTCCACTCTGCATCATTGTTCTTTGGTCCTTCTACTGCCTCTTGCTGTAAATCACAATTACTTCCCATTAAAAACTGGGATAACTGAAACAATTGTTTTTTTCCCATCCTTGGTAAGCTCCATTCTCTCACTACGAATTGCAATTCTTTACTTAGTGCTGTCATGGGTAACAGCTGAATAAACATTTTGTTTTACCTCATATAGAACTTCTACCACCTTATCCTATCCATTGTGAAGGTGTCCTCCTTTTATCGCTAAATTGATCCACTATCTCCTTCAGCCAATTTTCATCCAAAATCCTCATTAATGCCTTTGTTACATAAAAATGACTTGATTTATTCAAATTCACTCATTACCTTATCCCTCTCCATCTCTCTAATCTGTGCTCCAATCCAAAACTGTCCCAAACTTCAAACACTTGAGCATTCCTAACTCTCTTCACATTCAACATTGACAGTTTTGTCTTCAACTATCTGGGTTCTGGGATCAGGGATACGAGTCCTCAGACTTCCCACCTCTTCTTTAAAATCAAGTTACCTATTTCATCAAGCTGTCAGTCACTTCTTCTGAAAACAGCTTCTTTCATATGATGTCAATTCTTGTCTGATTATGCTTTTATGCAATGCTGTGAGATATTTATCTATGTTAAAGATGCTGTATAAATGCATATTGTCATTTGTAAGTAATTAAATCATATCACTCACTGAATGGAATTGACCTTAAACATATTTTCTGCATTTTTAATTCAGGCTTCTAGAACTTGAACAAAGTGGTGAACTGGATGCCCTAAAACAGAAATGGTGGCCCAAAGTTGGGAAATGTGATTTGCAAAGTCATGTTAAGACACATGGAAAAGGAGGCCCAATGGATCTGCAAAACTTTGCTGGAGCATTCTGTTTTCTTGCTTTGGGTGTTATTTTGGCTTTCATTGCTGCTGTGGTAGAAATTTGGTGGAAAGGTGAAAAGAAAACAGACTCTCCTAGAGAGGTAATACTTATAACTCAGATCTCTCAGAAGTCTAGATTTTATACTACAATTAACTCCAAAGATTTAAGCAAATATTTACATAAATCCTCTTACTCTTATGGTGCACTGTTATTTAATTTTCATTTATTTTCTTATACTGAATGGTCATCTATTTAACCATCTTTAAAAAAACAACAAACTTGTTGGAGACTGCAAGTTCCCTCCAAGCTACGCACCATCCTGCCTTGGAACTGTATCACCCTGGAACTCCCTATGTGTACCTAAACTATGTTGACTACAGCAATTCAAGAAGGTGGCTCATCACCACCTTTTCAAGGGCAATTAGTGATAGGCAATAAATTCTGGCTTGACAATGATATTCATATCCCATAAACAATTAAATAAAATATATCAACCTTTTGTTTTGCATGATATATCTGTTTGTTTTTGGAGTGTTCTTATTTTAAAACAGTAATCCTACTGAAACGTCTGGGATGTTAATGAATTTGATATCATGGACAAGCTAAAATAAATTACAAGGCTAAAATAATAGCAGTACTAAGCTACCTGTAATCATTTTGTCATTAGTATAGTTCCATTATATTATTGAACACATTAATATCCACAAACATCTTTCTATGCAAAGCTAATTAATTTTAAAACTTATACTAATGAGTCGATAGGTGCGGTGATGCTTTTTATCCTTGTTTATAGACTATCTAGGAGAAAGTACTCAAAATACAAGAAAATCATGGGGGAAGCAATGGGAAACTATTCCAAGTACTTTCTCTATTGAGTGACTTAAGAGTAAATATTTGTGAGTACTTTGTTAAGACTTTCCTTAAAAACACAAAGGTTTGTTGAATTGATGACAAGTTCCAGTTAAATGGATCAATGTTGAACAGTTTTGGGAGTATATTTGCACAAAGATAGCAGTATAACTTGTGTACTAAATCCCTATAATTTCTCCATAATCAACTTCTGGAAATTCTTGGCTAGTTCATACTCTACTCGCTGGAGTTTAGAAGAATGAGAGGTGATCTCATTGAAGCATATTGGATTCTTAAGGGGCTTGACACAGTAAATGCTGAGAGGGTGTTTCCTCTCATGAGAGAGTCCACGACTAGAGGATACAGTCTCAAAACAAAGGGGTGCGAATTTAAGACTGAGATGAGAAGGAATTTCTTCTCTTGGAGGGTTGTGAGTCTTTGGAACTCCTTGCCTCAGAGAGCTGTGGGGGTAGGGTCCTCAAATATATTTAAATTTAGAGGGAAAATGCAGGAAAATAAATGTGAGGAATGTCAGATCAGCCATGATCCTATTGAATGGTTGAGCAGGCTCGGTGGGCTGAATGCCTATTCCTGTTTCTATTTCCTATGGTCTAATGGTCTTAAATTCAGATGAGTTTTATGTCATTATATGTTGCATGAAGTTTGTAATTTGTATATACCTGAAAGTGAAAAAAGACACATGTAAAATCGCACTCTATACTTCATTTCATTTTCACCTGTTAGGACCCTCTTTTTTTCCTTTATATCCTCTACCCTTATTTTACTGAAGATTTTTCCATTAGATAACTTAAATAATTATTTTTTGCTAGTTTACATAAAGACTATTATTGGATAATTTCTATTAATTAGAGTACAACTTGTTCAGAAAATGAGATTGCTAAGCTAAATTCTCTCCCCTTTGGATGCATTTTATTAATAGAATGATAGAACCACAGAATTTTACAGTACAGAAGGAGGCCATTCAGCTCATTGTGTCTGTACCAGCTCCTGAAAGAGCTACCCAGCTGGTTCCATTCTTAGCCTATCTCCATAGCTCTCTAAATCCATCACTTTGAAATATATATTCAGTTCTCTTTTGAAACTGCCTATGAAATGTACCTCTACTACTCTCCCATGCTGCATGTTCCAAATCCTAACAACTCCTTGAGTAAAGATGTTTCTCCTCATCTTACTCCTAGCTCTCTTGTTGATAATATTCAAATCGTGACCTCAAAGTTACTGACATGCCAACTAGTGGAAGCAGATGATTCTTCTTTACCCTGTCAAAATTGTTCATAATTTTGAAACCTTAATATAGTTCCTCTATTCAAGAAGGGAAATAGAGATAATCCAGGAAACTATAGACCTGTGAGTCTTACATTGGGAAGCTATTGGAGAGAATTTTTAGGATTATGATTTATGCGCATTTGGAAAAGCATGGCCTAATTAGGGACAGTCAGTATGTCTTATTGTAAGGGGAGGTCATGTCTTACTAACCTGATTACATTTTTTGAGGAGGAGATGAAGGTGATTGATGAGGGTACAGCAGTGGATGTTGTCCATATGGATTTTAGTAAGGCTTTTGACAAGGTCCCTCATGGTAGGCTCATCCAGAAGATTAAAATGCATAGGATCTATGGTGAGTTGGCCGCGTGGATTCAGAATTGGCTTGCTCATAGAAGGCAGAGGATAGTGGTGGAAGGTTGTTTCTCAGGCTCGAGGTCCGTGACTTGTGGTGTTCCTGTACTGGGATCTCCACTGTTTGTGATATATATCAATGACTTGGATGAAAATGTAGATGGGTGGGTCAGTAAGTTTGCAGACGATACAAAGATCGGTGGAGTTGTGGATAGTGTAGAAGGTTCTGAAAGGATACATTGGGACATAGATCAGTTGCAGATATGGGCAGAGAAATGGCAGATGGAGTTTAATTCATGTAAGTGTGAGGTGCTGTACTCTGGCTAATCAAATATAAAGGAGAAATATATAGTTAATGGCGGGACCAGAACTGCATTGATATACGGAGGGATCTTACAGTTGATGTCCATAACTCCCTGAAAGTAGTCACGCAAGCATATAGGGTGGTGAAGAAGGCGTATGGCATGCTTGCCTTTCTTGGTCAGGGAATTGAGTACAAGAGTCAGGATAGCACTTTGGAGCTTTATAAGACTTTGGTTAGGCCACAATTAGAGTACTGTTTTCAATTCTGGCTGCCACATTGCAGGAAGGATGTGGAGGTTTTGAAGAGAGCGCAGAAGAGGTTTATCAGGATGCTGCCTGGATTAGAGGGCATGAACTATAAGGGGAAGCTAGAAAAACTCATGTTGATTTCTCTGGAGCGTCAGAGGTTGCGGGGAGATGTGATAGAAGTCAGTAAAATGATGAGATGCATAGATAGGGTTGATGGTCAGAATCTTTTTCATGGAGTTGATATGTCTAAGACAAGGGGGCATGCATTCGAGGTGAGAGGGGCAAGTTCAAAGGAGATGTGAGGGGTGAACTTTTTACATAGAGAGTGGAAGGAGTGGGGAACATGCTACCAGGGGTGGTGGTGGAGGCAGATACAATTAGGGTCTTTAAGAGACTTTTAGAGAAGCACATGAATATGCAAGGAAAGGAGGGATATGGACGAAGGGCAGGAAGAAGGGATTAGTTTCATTTGGTGTCATATTTGGCACAACATTATGGGTTGAAGGGCTCGTTCCAGTACTGTACAGTTCTATGTTCTATGTTTATTAGTTTTTCAATTAAGGAAATTAGGCTATGAGTCTCTAGTTCTCTGATATGACTTAATTACCCTTAGAAGGAGCAACAATGGATGTGATTATACCTTGAAGATTGGCTGTGGTCACCCCAGCTTAATGTTTGAGGGCAATTCCACCAAATTATTTTTTGTGTGACACCCTTTAATTAGTGAGGTGAGCCCTCCGTCCAATTGCAGTAAGAAATCCTGTCTCCTCTTATCTAGGCCAGCAGCTCTGTTCAACATCAGGATTGGTGGCTAATGCCAGAATTGCAAAAGGCCCAGGAGGAAGAACCCCAATCCCAGGTAGGTTTGGGTTCTCAGCGGGGGTGGGCTGCCAAGTTCAAGCAAGGAAGGTGGAGGGACATGTTGGACAAGGAAGGGGAAAGGGTTGTCATGGGAAGGAAAAGTTGAGGGCCTTATTTGGTCTGCAGGTGGGCTCAACATCCACCATCTGTAAAATCATGGCAGAACTAAGCGGGTAGGCTGATGGTGAGTACTGAACTGATGGCCTGATACTCCTCTTTACAGGTGGATACCTGTTTTCCTCCCCACAGTTGGTGCCTAATATTAAGCCCTCTGTTTGGCAGTTTCCAGTCTGCAGAATCTTCTCACTGAACAATGATTTTTTCAACAGGATTTCCATTTCCTTATTAATCTTCCCTGTTTCGTGACGGACCACAGAGTACAGTTCACTGATTCTGAGGGATATTTTAGACTTTCAGTACTTTCAACCTGTTTAAAGCCACTCTTTTGCTATTTCTCAAATATTCATGATGTACACAGTATTTATTTAATGTTGAAACAGTGGGTGGAAGTCTTTAGTCCTATAGCAGGCATGAATAAACATGGCCAGGGGAGCCTAATTGGGTGAGAGTCAAAAATTCAGAATCTTAATACCGGGATAAACTTTAGCCATCAATTTATCTAACATTGAAAGTTGAGCAAACCCTCTTGATTTCAGGTGCCAGGAAGCCTATCTGAATGCATTTGCACCTCATTGTAGGTAAAACTAATTGGGATGAAGTGCTATCCCAGTTAGGTTCTGTCCAATAGAGAAATTCATGCCTCTAGATATCCAATTGCATATAAGGTGCATGTATGTTGACGCACACTTGACGCTCAACTGCACCTTCACCATCCTATGGCCAGGATAGTTTCAATCAGTTACCTCCTATCCCTCCAAGAGAATGACATTCTTCGCCTCTCAGTAATATATGACCAACTTCTAATCATGAGACTATTTTGCCTGGAGATTTCACCCAGGGGAAATACCCTTCCCCTATGCACCCAGAATCTCTATTTTTCCAATATTCCAACCACTGTTTGTGTTCATTACATGAGCCCTTATAAAACTGAACTTTATCCATCCAAAGTTCAATGCCATGGTTTGGTAAATTATGTATACTGAGGTAAAAAAGTGCATTTTATAGACTCCCTCCCCAACAAAATCTGAGAACTGTCTGCATCATACTTATAACTTAAGAATCATTTCTCCTTTTCCAAAACTACAGAACTTCAGATATGTTTAATTTTTTCATTGATTATTCCAAATTATTTTAATTATTTTATGTTAAAGTAATTTTTTGCTTTGTTTTCCCTCTGTATGCAGGAGGACAATGAAATCGAAATCGATCAGTTCCAGAAACAAACAGATGATTTCTCTAAAGTCAGTGAGAGCTCTGTTAAATTTTCACCATCATTTGTAGACTTGAATTCATTTGAACTATCTATAATGCCAACTGGTGAAAATCAAGAACAATATAGTGATTTCAGGAACACTAATTTGACAATGTCAACCTTCATACCTGAGCAGATGCGGAGGACAAGCACATGTAGCTTATCAGCTAAGACTTCATCTGGATTGCCACTGAGTGGTACAGCTGGTCAACAAACTGCACAATACGTATGCACATCACAAAATGAGAGAGATTGTAGCAGTCCTTCTTCCTTCCTCTGATCCTAATTAAGTACAGCCCTAAGAAATGTGAGTTTCTCAGTATTGTAAGTGAACTTCTTTTCAGAAGGATTTGCCATGTGCAGTTATAAGTCTTGTTGGATCAATCTGATTGCATTGTTCAGAAGATTAACAATCACATGCATGTTCTACATGATCCCACGCAATTCTTAAAAGAGTAGAACTCTCATATTGTTACAGCCAATTTGCCATTTAATTTTACAATGTATGAATGTATAGATTTTCATCCCAGGTTTAGTTCCATTCTTCTCTTTATTTTCAATTTCATCCTACCCTACAAATCATTTGCAGCTCAAAAAGAGTGGACAGATGACCTTCCTAGACCTCCACCAGTACTGCTGTAATCTTGATCATCAAGATACATACAAAAGCAAGGGGAAATAATGTCTGCTGAGGAAGTGCCTAATCTCAAACTCATCTTTCAATATTAAGTAGACTATGTCAATAAGCAATGTTCACCAAAAATGAAGTCAAATTATTAGAAATTAAAGAAACAAATAAAATCAATCAAAAAAATATGAATATAAGAAGAAAAGACGACAGTCAGAAAGATGCTGTCTTAATATCAGAACTAATTATCTCTGAAGATATTTGAGATAATAAGAAGGTATTCTTTTTGTGGCATAGTGAAAGAAAAGTTTTGTGTGGAGATACATGTGCTGCTTAGTTACTTATGTCTATCTGAAATGCTTCAATCCAGAAAAATGTATATTACATTGGCTCTATGATGGTACAAAATGATGCACTTTAGAGAAGGTAATAGAAACAGTGTTAAATTTATCAATTTTATAGCAACAAATACATTAAAATATAAATGGTATGACATTAATTTCACCATATTATGAGTAAAATAAAATTACAAAGTCTAATGCTCATTATAAACTGGCAGCACCAAATGAGGTGGTCATTTTTTTAGCCTGTATACTTTTTTGAGAATTTTTAGAAATTTTTTCTATGAAGCACAATTTAAGGTCATTAATTTATCTAGTGCATAATTTGCTGAAATTCTGCTCCTGTAAAAAAAAATGTTTCCGAGATAATACGTATTTTTTTTACCCATGCTCAAGATATATAAGCAGCTCAATATTGTGTCTGATGATAAAATTGTACGGACTAGCTAGGGGGCAGCATCCTTCTGTGTAAGAGATTAAACAAAGTGTCTGAAGAATCTGTTGGATTATTCAGACGCTTGAGCTATAATTTTACATCATATGATTTACTGTCAATCTCCTTATAAACTTCAAATGATTTTTGAATGTACGATATTGACTATTTAAAATAAACTGACCCCTAGTATTTGTTTCTGTTATGACTATTACAAGGGTAATAAAAAATAACGGCCCAGCTGTAAATGACTTGATATATAAGACTCCAATGCTGGACTCAGTTGAGAAGGTTTTAGCTTTGTAGCAATGGTAAAACAGTGTTTGAAATTCTTAGTATTTTATTTTAATTTTAAGTATGAAAATTGCTATCAAAGAAAATAATTTTGTCTAAAATAACCATTGGATCCATCCTACACATAAACTTTAATTACTATTTTGGAATTCTAAACAAACAACATGTTAACTTTACTGTAAGAAGGCAAGATATAGCTACCCAGTGTTCATGACTTGTACTTGTTTACTACGAAAAGTACAGAACTTTATAAAAGGATTTGTAATGTCAAATGTGGACAAATTTTGACTAGGCTTTGAAATGAGTTATGAGGAGGATAGTATGTTTGATATCTCAAGGAAGCTAAATTTAATCAGAGAAAGAAAGTTATTAAAAGTAACCAAAGCAGAATGCTAGTAATAGAGAAAACAATGGCACTGAAGAGTGGCATAAAGTAGAATCAAATAGCTTCCATGCCAAGGTTTCAAAAAAACATTTTTTGCAGATATCCGAACTACATTCTTCCAAATTCTCTCAGTTCAGGTACTATTGCTTTAGATAGGAAATTTGCACAGCAGCCCACAATTTAAGAGAGGTGATAGAGGATGACAATGGATTTCAAAATTATTTAGGCGAGAAGTGGTGTAGTGGACAGTGAAGAAGGTTACATCAGAGTACAATGAGACCTTGATCAGATTGGTCAATGGGCCCAGTAGTGGCAGATGGAGTTTAATCTAGGTAAATATGAGGTGTTACATTTTGGTAAGGCATATCAGGCCAGGATTTATACACTTAATGGTGAGGACCTGGAGAGTGTTGCTGAACATAGAGACCTTGGAGTGCAGGTTCATAGTTCATGAAACTGGGGTTGCAGGTGGGCAGGGTATTGAAGAAGGTGTTTGATATGCTTGCCTTTATTGGTCAATGCATAGAATATAGGAGTTGGGAGGTCATGCGTGGCTGTACAGGACATTGATTAGGCCATTTTTGGAATACTGCATTCAATTCTGGTCTCTCTGCTATAGGAAAGAGATTGTGAAACTTGAAAGGGTTCAGAAAAGATTTACAAGGACATTCAGAGATAGTAGGAACTGCAGATGCTGGAGAATCTGAGATAACAAGGTGTAGAG